GTGAAATTAAACCGAAATCTCATTCAAATGAAGCCTTCAATGTTATAAAGCACAACTAATATTTACTTGTACCACGCTCTGTGCTATTGTGTAGGAATAAAAGTACGATACTAATAGCATGCTAAAAAAGAGCTAAAAACTTTTGGAAATCTATAAGGGAAACGCGAGAATCAGGCATTGCTGATCATTTGTAATGCGAAGGAGAGATACACTGACTTATATGGAATGAAGTTCAAATAATAGACAATAGCATTAGAGTTCAAGTCGGTTATAAGAATGAAAACATATAATCTTTTGCACCATGTGCAAGTGATGTCTGGAATAGTGCTAGAAAATTTTTCTAAATAAACACCGTTCTAAGGAAGAAAGAAAATAATTTAATTGTATTTGGCACTGAACAGTAACACTATGTTAAAATCATGCAAAAATCAAATTATATCACAATATATTGTTACCCTGTGGGAGCCACTGAGTAAGTGATGAATTTGAGTATCCCAAAACATGTTCCTGAAAATGGGAGTGCTGGTGAAATTAATCTAGTAAGATTAGAGGTTTAATGCACTAGTCAGGGTTGAAGACTTCCAAGAAACACTGAATGGTACATCGGAACAGATACCCGGTGAGGGCTGGAGAGTAGAGTGGCCTAAAGTTTGGGATAAGAAATAACAGGAAATTAAATCAAATCCGAAGAGAAAAGCAAGCAGATAGACTCAAAAAATAAACTGAGACATTTAACATATTGGCTACCAACCACGAGATAACTCGTGATTGGCAGTTTTTATTATGACGACGAGTTACGAGTTATTGCGTGCTAACCAGGACTTATTTCGTGCTTGACATATTCCGATAGATTTTTATAATGCGGGCGTCATCAATGAATTTATTCGCAGTGATACGTTTACTATGAAAACAATTTTAAGACTTCAGTAGAAGTTATAAATGAACTCATAAAATTTTTTTTATCGCCTCAGTTGGCGTCTGAAGTCAGATTTCGTAACTGGCCCTTGGCAATACATTGATATCAGAGATTTTGTAAATACAAGAATATACTGTTAGCTAAAGGCTAAAAAGATTTTGTGGTGCCGAAATCAACAATTTGGCTTTCCTTTAAGCATTTACTTCAGATTTAAGTGAATGCACACGATTAGAGGCTGAAGAATAACGTGCATCTGTTTCAGCCACAAAACATGTTCAGTAGATAAAGGTTAAGATAGAAACTGATATGTGTGTATTGAGAGTTTGGAGAATCTTTAAATTTCCAATACATTCTTATTATATAAGACAGAAAAAGAAGGAAAAATATTGATGTCCAGAGTACTGTGCGACAATTGGTTGGTGTTTTGCCAGAGAAGTTAACACATAGTTTCGATGCGATACGAAGCCAATTTTTAAAATATGTAGGCGGCTGTAGCTTAGATTGATCGGTAATGGCATGAAATATGTTTTGAATTATAAAAAAAAAGATTGTCTTATTAACTAATAAAATAAAATTGTTATTTGCGTCTTAATTTAAATTTTCGTTCATGCGAATCGAACAAGATGGCGGGTGGCTGCTTAGCGCTTCAGATAATGGTACATTTTCCGTCTGGTTTCCAAATTAGATACAATGTACCTATTTAGAAGCAATGCAATCGTTCTCTTTTCTCTATACGAACTAGTGCCAGACAGGGCTAAATGATGTGAATATTAAAAAAATCTAAATAATAGTAGAAACTGACGATTTAAATACTTCATTTTTTACTTATTTTCTGTTTTGCTTTCTCTATGGACGTACTAGCAGAACTGCTTTATATCGATGTGAATTTGACCAAGAAAAAAATGTACATTTTAAATAAATTAATACTTACAAATTCCAGCGTTTATGCGAAATGCCAGGTTGTCGCCAACAAAAATCTACTGCACTGATGGCACCTAATTTTTGATAACGGCCGAAGCCATTGAAAGTACTTGAATAAGGACAGAACAAAACACGTGGTGCAGACAATTTATTAATTTTGATCCTGTTTTGCAACATCTTATTCGAGAACTATATATAATATAGGGAGCCTCCATCAAACGTATACACACGCACATTTACATATACATTTGTATACACATGTACGTACACATATTACACATGTATACAAACACATACGCATGCATGCACAATCACACATACACGCATGCACAATCACACACACATATATATATATATATATATATATATATATATATATATATATATATATTGTATTATGAATTATTTTAAAATGTATAGTAAAATTTGCAAATAAAAATATATTTAAACAAATTGGTATCAGGGAAAAAATTCAATAAGATAAGCAAAAGACTAAAAGCATCCGTGTCGGTCGAAAATATCACCCAACACCACGATGCCTAGACAAAAGAAAAATGCCCCAACGACTAAATTAAGGAAATTAAAAAAGTGCTCAATACACCAAGTAGAACAAAGTATAAAACCGTATTGAGCCAGCATTTACCTATCATGGTTTTATTAATACCCTGAAGATCTGTTAGGTGAAACCTTGGTAGTAGATCCTGGCTGATTAAGCTTTATTTATATATATATATATATATATATATATATATATATATATATATATATATATATATATATTAAAATATAGTTTTAAAGTGTGCTATATTTATGGGATAAAGTGCTCAGTATCAGAGATAGAGCGTATAAATATAAATATAAAAGTGAACACTGAAGTCGACACACAGTGAGTGACAGGCTGTTTCATTGCGTCCAGCATGAAACAGCCGAAGAGTCTTTACTTATAATAGCCACTGTTTACAAATCCACACTTCCTCCCCCAGAGAGCTCAACCGAAACAAATTTTTCAGGAGCCTATTTATTGTCATCCACAGACAGACTTCTTCGCTGTATCACAGCCCTTCGGTGTGGCTAGACGTCCGGTTGCCTCTAGCTAGGATCGAAATCCGGCTGAATTGGCGTCAGTCGGAGATTCTACCACCAAGCCGTTGGCGAAGGTGAATTTTAGCGTATTTATTTTTTTAGATAAACACGCAGTAACTGAGAGGACTCGATTTGCTTGCCGAATATATATATATATATATATATATATATATAAAAAGTGAACATAAAGTCAACACTTAGAGGCAACAGTCTGTTTCATGCTAGATGCAATCAACAGGCCTGACGATTGCATCTAGCATGAAACAGACTGTCGCCTCTAAGTGTTGACTTCTATGTTTACTTTTATATTTTCACACGCTCTATCTCTAATATTGAGCACTTTATCCCATAAATATAGCACATCTTAAGACTATATATATATCTTTCATGAAATACGGCAGACAAGGGAGATTTAATTCACTTTGTATTTAGTTTCTCCAGCATCCTTATATTTTCCCGTTTTTTAGGAGTAAGGGAGTACAGAACTTCTCCATGATTATCATTGTCCCAAGCTATTTCGGTCACTTTTTCAGCCAGGTTTTCAAGGGGTTTTTGTTTTTGGTGTTGTTATTTTTTCCTCATGTTTTCACTGTTTTAAGTTGTATTCTATTTTTGTGTTGTTATGCATAGGAGCGTTCATTCTGAGCCTTCGCATGTTGAGCGCGGCTGCATTTTGCGTGGAATTCACCCCCCCCCAACTTGAAAAAACATTTTTGGGACACTCTGTATTATTATTTTTAATCGTTTTTCCCCAGCAAAGCGATAATGTCACTGAGACGCAAGGGATTACTGAGAGTGAAAGAAGATGAGAAAACGTTTATGGGGAGAAAAGACAATAAATAAACAGGTTTCGGGGAGACAGATGATTGCATTTAAACTTTTGAAGATCGTAGGAGGCAGGTAAACAATATATATATATCGATATAGAATTCGATGGATAAATTATCGTCTAAATTACGCAAAAAGAAAAATAACACTGACATCTCATTTTAACAGATATATTTACTAAAATAACACAAAATATCTTGAAATGCTGTAAATTTATTTAATAAAACCGCCATTGGCTTCAACTACGGCCTCCAGACCACTTCGGAATCTCCTGCATCTAATAATATTAATCAAGGGGATTGCAGTCTGGGGAGTTAAGTGGCCAGATGTAAGGGGTTATGTGGCCGTAGAAATTGTCTGACAGTCATGACTGAGTTCTTCTGCTTGTGTGGCATGGTGCAGAATCCTGTTATCAGACATAGGGTCTGCCAGCAGCCGCCCCTTTGATCCGGGGAAGCACTACCTCCTGAGGGCACTTGATGTAAGTTTCCCTGTTGAGTCTGAGGCCCTCACCATAAAATTCGGGAGTTCTTTTCTTATCAGAACGACCAGAGTGAGTTTTTCGAGCTGCCGTACCTTCGTAATCACCGTTATACTCATCCAATTCTTTCCGAACCATCTGCACTGTCCTCAGATTGACATCCATACGCCCTGAAATGTTCGTATTGGAGCTTCCGGTGCGAATGCCAAGCAATACAGCGAAATTTCCAAATTTCTAGCGAAGCGAATTGCGTCATGATGCTCTTTTTTGTTCCTGTAACTTGCGTTGCTCCTTTTTACTGGCCTTTGACCAGAATCTCTCCCTCTCAACTAGACTAAGTCCAGCACGTCCCTTCTTTGTAACACCTTGAACTTCTGCATACCTTACCATCACTTCCACTGCTTGCATCACGTCTGACACTTTCCATTTTCTTCCTGTCTTCACCTCTGGCACATTCTTCCAGATTACAGCATCCCTAGACTCACACAGCATGGACTGCAATCTCATCTTTGCCACCTTGTACTCCTCCACCAAAGAAGTAAGAGGTAACTGAAGGCCTCCCGAACTGCCATACAAAGCGACCGGCAACAGAATCCTTGCAGCACCAAGCCACTTCCGTATGCATTTACTAATTTTCCTCTCAATTATCTCAACTCGAGACAGTGCCACCTCATATATAGTCAGCGGCCACATTAATCTAGGCATCAATCCAAAATGCATACAGCACACCTTAAATTTTCCGGGAAGCCCACGCCGGTCTATTCTTCGCAGGCCCACCTCCGCTTGTTGCTGGATTTCAATCCCACGGTGACGATCTGTCACAGGGAAGTTATACCTCCTCCCAAAACTCTTCACACCTTGCTCCCGCACTGTTGATATCTTTTCACCTGCGATGGAAAACACTTCATGTATGACAGAACCTCCCTTCATAGACAGTGACCTGCTTTTCTTCGGTTTCAAGGCCATCTGACTCCATTCTACCAACTCTGCAAGTCTATCCAGAACCAACTGGGCTACTTTCCTATCATCTTGAATTATCGTCAAATCATCCATAAATGCTCGGATTTTGACCTCATTCTGCAGGAAGCGGTACTCTGGCATCAGACCTCTCAAGATCACCTCCATCGCCATCACAAACAGTACTGGAGAGATGGCACATCCCATAGCAATACCCCTTTGCAGCTCCACATACCTTGTAGTGTACTTCGTCGTCGAAAAACGCAGTATGAACTGATTGAAGTTCATAGCCAGACAATCCCTGTGTCTCTGCGTAAAGTAGAAGAACTCCAACGCCAGCTGTTATGTTATGCGGAACTGAACCATACGCATTAGCAAAATCCAGCCAGATGACGTGAATATTCTTCCTTTCAATTTTAGCCTCACGGGTCTTTGCCCAAATCATTGACACATGTTCCAAGCACCCTGGAAACCCCGAGACTCCTGCCTTTTGAATACTAGTGTCTATATAGTTATTCCTAAGCAGGTAGCCCCTCATCCTCCTAGTAAACACCTTAAGAAACACCTTCCCTTCAACGTTCAGGAGAGATATTGGGCGAAACTGACTAAATGTCAACGAATTCTCCTCCTTCGGTATATACACCCCATCAGCTCGACACCAACAGCCCAGAACATCCCCAACTTCCCAAATCTTCACAAGAAGCCTCCACAAATACCTCAGCAGCCCGGAACACCTCTTGTAGACAGCATATGTCACCCCATTAGGACCAACCGCAGAACACTCTCTTGCCCTCCGTACAACTCCTTGGACCTCCTTCCAAGTACGTGCTCATAAGATATCTCTCCAGCTCCTCCCGCTCAACACTCAACACTCCGCTAGTCTTCTCCCTAAACAACTGCTTCGTGAAGCGGAACGGACTTTCCGTGAATAACTTCCGGGCCTTGGCAGCCTTCTGTCTCTTTTTGGCAAGCCGTTCCGCTATACTTACCTTACTAATGCGCTTCCTTATGTCCTCCAGGATTGGCCTGATTTCCTCTGCCCTCTGCTCATCAGTCCGCATTACTGCTCATTACCTTCGCGTCTCTTTCTTCAAAGCCTGGATGGTTCTCCGCCGCCGACTTACCTGCACTGGAGCTAAGGACTTAACTTTCACTTCCTTTAACCCAAACCTGGTGACCCCATAGTCACAGATCATCTCCCCAAACTGGCGGGAGTTCCTAACTGGATCACCCCTGAGTGTCTGGACGGCTGCTGATAAGTCTTCATCCATCTCTGACCAGGCCCTATCCACAAAGGAAAGCCACTTGATAACTCGGCGATTAGATTCAGCTTCGAAGAAAGGATCCTGCAGGACACTGTGGTGTTCATCCTGGCCATGACACACCGACAACTTACCGACTACTGCCGTGCGCTTCTTTGCCACTGAATCACTATCACATTTCATCCTTGTCTGGTGTATCTTGCGACCCTTCACCGATTTGAAGACTCTTTTACAGCCATCACATTCCCTCTGGTTCTCACAGCCGTCATTACCAGATTGTCTGTCCATTTTCGTACCCATTGTAACTGTAGCAAGTTGCGTGTTTTTACATCCGACATGAAACAGGCGACTCTACCAGATCCCCGGATGGGCCAGATGATTACATAATGGTCTGGGTTCGTCAGAATTCAGGCGGGCGCGATATTCAAAAGGTCTCCCATCCCACCATCCCTATATGCGCAGGCCATAAAGAGCTGTTGTAGAATCCGATCACATATAAGCGCTGCTTTTCGCGAAAACAAACTCAGAGTGGGCAGCTCACGTCTCGCAGCCCTATCACTGTCGTCACCGCACTATCACGGTTGACACCATCCTTTCATGGTTGTCACTGGAGAACCAGAGGTATTGAACACAAGTACACATCAAGTGCTCCTGACCAGCTGCAATCTTCAGCTGAGCGCCGTGCTTCAGCAAAGTTTCGGCCCATTAAGCTCAGTACCTTTCCACACGATGGGCCCGCAACAGCTGGATGATGTTACGTTGCAACCGGTCTATGTTGGTTGGATACGACTCGATAAGAATTTTTGGGTAATCCATACATTTCCCTCTATCACTTTTTCACCACAAGTCTTTATAACCTTATCCGGCTTTTGGATCCCAGCACACTTGAGTAATCTCTTTAAAGAGGCAACAGGAAATCCTCTACAGCCAACCTCAAATGGCACCAGGGTGCACCCATATCCTCTCTCACGGACTTTAGCCATCAGTTCCTCATACCGAAGCAACTTTCTTTCATGCGCCTCTTCAATTCCTTCTTCCCATGCTACTGTCAGTTCGCCAAGCAACAGATGTTGCTTCTCGATATTAATTAAGACCACATCTGGTCTCAGACCAGACACAATGACCTCCACTGGCATATATATGTATATATATATGTATGTATATATATGGTGTCGTAAATAATTTGATGCTCCAATATGCTTTCATATATTTTATGAATTTAACATACATATAATTTCAGATTTGTTCTATGTATGTATGTATGTATCTATCTATCTATCTAGCTAGCTAGCTAATTTTCATTTTACCATGTATGCTATCGTCATAATGTAATAAATTAATACAATAATTTCTATAGATGTGTAAGTAGACTAACATTGCTTTTTTTTAAAGCAGCAGACATATTCTTTAAAGATACACAGAGAATGTGTTGTTTTGGTGGTTGGACTATTGTTGTATGTTTGGGTCAGTGTTTGTGGTTACCTAAGTTTAGAAATTAAGACAGAAGAAGACCGTCCTTTTCCCCAATCCTCTTTTTGTCCTTGTGCCACATTTTGTACGAAATCGTATGAATAAATATCGATACACAAAACGACAATGAAAATCTTGAAAACTCTTGTTGGCTTTTATCTGCATTAAAATGCATTACGTCACATTCACAAGTGACGTCACGTCACATTGCGCATCAAACCATATAGACAAACAACAAATTGCATCGAATGAAATGATGACGTTTGCCAAGAAAAACTGTTAAGCACGGCCCAGATGACGCAGTGTGTGAGAGGTTTCAGAATGACTTGGACCATGAAAACAAACAAAAAAAAAAAAGAAGGAAAAAAAAGAAAGATAAAAATCTAATTGATAAATAAGCAAGGAAGGAAGCCAAAGATAAGAGAAAAGAAAAGCGGGGATGTTTGTTAGCGTTTGTGTAATTAGCCGAAAGTGACACAGAAAAGTAAAAGGCGGGAATTGGCAAAGAGACAATTTTTGATGTGTAGAAAGTCGTCAGTAACGCACACGCAAACACATACTGGCATTCATTCCCTACACAATCATTCATATGTTCATACATACTATTCTCTATATGCATTTTTACACACACTTTAACAGTAATAGGTGTAAATTTTCAGTCATACTTACCTGAGGATACCTTCACATGTAGGTATTTTTATGTTTGCACATATGTGTTTAGTATTCAAGCTTTCAAAGATTCTGTTATAAAAATAAAAGTTTTTGTTAATGTTTACAGTTTTATAACAATTGTTATAAAAGTTTTATTAGTGTAACGTTATTTAATTAAATATTATTTTAAATTGTTGTTTTGAATGGTTGTTTAGTTTGAAAAAAACCAATTCATCTATATATATAAATCAGAGGATGACTGTCTGTCTGTGCGATGCCTTTTCACTCGAGATCCATACAACAGATTTTGACCAAACTTGTCACATACATTGTCCATGTAAGAGATAGGTTCTTAGCGTAAAAAAATCGATAATTTTTAAAAAATCAATAATCGATAAAGCCGATCAAAATTCGATAAATTCAACTTTTTACCTCCGATTTCGTTCAAACTCGTATAAACATCCCCACAGCAAATGGAGGACGAGAACAATTTCTAGCTTCATTTTCGATTAAATGGTAGATTTGTAAATATGCAAGATGGACTCTGACGAGAAAACCTGGCACGGCTCAGTGACCAAACTTTCCTTTGCAGTAGATGCAGCTTTTGTTTCTTCAAGTCAGTTGAAAACATGAATCCAAGAAGGCGTAGTGTGTTGCTCTCTATGAGTCTACAATTAGCCATTTTAATGGCGGGCAGTTTCGCTTTAGAGGCATTAAAATTTCCTATCTCAGTTAATCTCAGATTGGAGGTCCTTTTCAAGAGCAGCGGCAACGTTAACTTTGCCAGCTCTGACAGATTTGCTTTTGAGCCAGGAGTAAACATTTACATTTTGAAAATAATAGGCACACATAAATATTCCACATAAAATGGGCCAAGTTCTACATGGGTGATGGACTATCTGTCAGCGGGAGGTTGTCTATTTCCTACCATACCGTAGGCCACTTGTTATTGGGGCTTAGAGCATTTGTTACCGGGCTGTGGCTCATGAATTACCGGACAATGAACTATGTGCTACCGGAACCTTTGCCATGTTTTACCGGGCGATGGACCATGTACTAATGAGACGTTGTCCATTTCCTACCGCGCAATAGGACATTTTTTTTACCGGTGCTTGGGCCATTAGCTATCAGGCCGTGGACCATGTTCTACCGGCTCGCAGACAATGTTCTACTTGTCCGTAGACCATTTTATACCTGGATATACTTCCGTGTTACTGAGTTACTGGACGCTGCTACTAGTATATGAACCATGTCCTAGGGGCCATGTCCTCTCGGGCTATGGATCAGGTGCTACCGGACCTTGGACCATGTGCTACAGAGACGTGGCTATGGAACAAGACGTTCTCCATGCCCTACTGTGAATTAGTTACCTGGGCTTCCGACATTATCCGCTGGGCCGTGGACACTGTTCTAACGGGTCATAGATCATGTTCAATGCGGTCGTGAAGCATTTTCTACCGGGTCATGCTACATGTTCTACTGGCACGTGGGTCAATCCTACTAGTCTATAGACCATATGCTAATGGAACGTTGTACATTACCATGCTGTAAACCATTTGTTACCGCGGCCTGTGGCTTTTCCTACCGCGTCGTGGACAATGATTTACTGGACCGTGGACCATGTGCTACCGGGACATTGACCATTCCTGCCGTGGAATAGGCATTTTTTTTAACTTGGTTTAGACCAGGTGCTACTGGAACGTGGTCCTTGTCTTACTGGGCTATGGACCATGTGCAAAGGGTCCGTTCTCCATATCATTTTGCTTCCGAGCAGTTGTCCATATGTTATCGGGGCATGAACTGAGTTGAAACAGTGTAATCAATAACTGGGCAATACTAAATTAGAACTAGACAAGTTATGCCTGGGGGTGACCGGCCAGCGAAACGAGAACAATCTACTCGTGTAGATTAAATAAAGGCTTCAGTTCGAAATTCCTTGAAGGTTACCCGGATTTACAGGCATGTGAGTACGAAGGAAACATCGGTTGAAGCGGTGTGATTATAACAAAAAATATGGGAAAAATAGTCGGGGCTTAGAGCATTTGTTACCGGGCTGTGGCTCATGAATCACCGGACAATGGACTATGTGCTACCGGGACCTTTGCCATGTTGTAACCTTTGCCATATGTAAATAAAATGAAGCTAAATAAATTGCGAAAGATGTCAAATTTATAAATGTTTCCTACGTGTTCCTTATTCAATCAAACATATGTATATATAAAACTATGACACGCGCACATGCGTGTATATCTTCTATATACCGTGTCCTTACAAGGAGATCATGGTTCTCCACAACTTCCTATATCTTAGAGCTATCGTTCCAGAATTTATTCCCACAAGCTGGTCAGGTAGGTAATCCAACGCCTCCTTATGTCCTTCTTGCCTTCAGTATGTACTGTGAGTGTCAATTCCTTCAGGCCTTCCAATGTCCTATTTCTGGCTATGTGTATAAGTGTCTTTTTGTTTCTATTTTCCTTAAAACTTTTTCGTTGCTTACGCGCTCCGTCCATGGTATTCTGAGCATCCTTCTGTAGAACCACATCTCTATTGCTTCAAGTGTTCTCTTCATATGTGAGGAAATTGTACTTTACTGCTATATAGGAATATTGATATTAAACAGAAGTTTTTGTGTTTAACGAATTTTTCATGTTTCTTAATACTTTGCTTGGCTTTTGGAAGGCATCCTTTGCTAATTCAGTACACCTTCAGATTTCGCTGTCTCATTTTCCAACCTATGTTAAAACACGTTCCAGATATTTAAACTTCTGTTCTTGTTTGTTGTTGATATCTGGAAGACTGATT